AACATGTCTAACAATTCGTCTCATCACATAGCTGACATGCATTTCGTGTATGGCAGATGTGATGGAAGCGGTGGTGGTGCCGTATGAATGTATCATCAGAGGTATCCCGACCGGCCTACACCCAGTCGACAAACTTTTGTTGACATTCACTTGTAATATGTCATCCAAAGTCCGCCAAATGAACGCTCCCGCATAGTGTCAATGGTGCAAGAAGAAAATGAAGTACTTCAACTTATTTACCGAGATCCCAAGCTCAGTGTAAGGCGAATAGTAAGGATGCTGCATTTGTCAAAATGGGTTGTGTGGAAAATTTTAAAATGCGAAGGTATGCATCCGCACCGTTTTCGTCGCGTACAAGATATTCGAGAGCCAGACTATGCTGTGCGAGCAACTTTTTGCTCGTGGCTCAACGGTTGTGTGCGACGTCAACCGACATTTTGTAAAAAAATCATGTGAACCGATGAGGCGACTTTACAAGAGCTGGAATTATAAACCATAGAAACCAGCATTTGTGGATGCAAGAAAATACAAATGCAGTAAGGCCCAGTAAATTAAAGGCGGCTATGATTGACGACAAATTAATTGGATCAATTGAATTACCAAATACAATGAATGGCCCAAGATTTTTAGATTTTCTAAGAAACACATTTAGAGAAATCATGGAGGAATTACCAGTGATCAACCGAAGGCGCATGTGGCTACAGTTGGACGGTGCACCAGCTCACTACGCACGTGCTGTGAGAGCTTTTCTTAATGAAAATTATTTACCATGGATAGGACGTGGTGGAACGGTAGCTTGGCCACCTGCTCTCCGGATTTAACACCTCTGGATAATTTTTTATGGGGATGGATGGAGCAGAGGGTTTATTCTACAGTCCCAAATAGCAGACAAGAACTGCTCGACAAAATAATGACGATTGCGGATGACACAAGATCCGACATAGCCTTAATATCAAGGGCCACACAACAAATGGCTGTAAGGTCAGTGTCAGTGGCCTGTCTACAGAATAGAGGTGGCCATTTCAAACGATTATTAAATTAATAATAATACTTAATACCATTAAAGTTTCTTAAACGTTATAGTGTATTTTTATTTAATCCATTATCGTAAATTAATAGCTCTTATATGAGGCTCTACATACATGACCCTCGCAAAAGGGTCATATTCAAACAGCCCTAACTTTCGAGTAATGCAATTAAGAACAATAATTTTAACGTCAATTTGTAAGTAATATCCTTAAGTATTAGGACAATATTAAAAAATTTAGTATCAATATGCTACTTTTTGAAATATGTTGAGAAAAATAAAAATCAACATTTTTTTTACTTAAATTAGCATTGTAATTTTTTTAAGATATTTTGTATGGAAAACTTTACATGATGTTTATTTTTATTTGATAGATGCTATTTCTACCTTTTAAATAACATTTTTTTTACATCTGTAGGACCTTTTTGTCCAGAGAAATATGCATCTTTTGGCAGAGGTACACACGTCACATCTTTTGGTAGAGGACAAGAATTAAAAAAAAATTAATAATGGCGGCCATTCCGGCAGGAGGGGCGTAGACCCCCATATATGGGTGTTTTAATTAGGTATATTTTGTAACCTTAAATTATCGCTAGGTCGTAACCGGACACACTGTATATATGTGTGTTTATATTATATATATGTGTTTCTAAAACGTCTAGTTAAGTCTAGTCAACGTTAAAGAAGATGGCTCCCTGGCCATTTCGGCAACTGCGATGCTGGTAAACAAATTACATATAAATAAAATTGAAGTGTCTGTCCGTAATGTATTTATATATGTGTCAGACAATTGTATATATTATTGGGAGACAATATATTCCCGCTTTTATTATATTTTATATTAGGACCTGCCCCGGCTTCGCCTGAATAGGGTTATAATGTATCGTTATTTAGATGTCAGTAAAACAAAGACCATTTATTTTATCAATTTTTCGTTATTGCAAAAATGATAAAATATAGCCTAGAGCCTAGAGCCTGATATTACAGACAGATACTTAATTTTTTAACATAATTTAATTCACAAACATAAATTGGACAATACACAAACTTCCAGATAAAGAACATTAATTTTTAGGTTTGACGAGGCGCACGACACCTCCGCTACTCGCATGGATTGCCGCTTTGCTTTGTCTCTCGACAAGCCTCCACATGAGGCCAGTCAAACAGACCAAAGAACCAATAAAACACAAATATTTACTCATTATTTTTTTATTTGTAACTTCAAATCTTATTACTAATACTGATTATATTTACATTGATTTACTTAGCTAAATTACAATGTAATAATTTAAATAATAGTAAAGTTGTAAATAGTTCAGTCGCTCATGTAAATTTTTTGAAAGGAATCCATAAATACTTTGTCTGTAAAAGAAAACTTATCGTGCACATGACACAGAATAAGTTCGGACTGGGCTCAATACAAAATATTAATATAATATATTTTTCGCCGCGAAGAGATGTTGCAACTCTTTGCGTATTCTATCTCATCTACCACGGGGAGTGAGGAAGGGGATCTGAGGAATTATTCGGACTAATTCCAGCCGATCAATTTCAACATCGCACATCGCGACATAAGTCACGATATCATCCATACTATCTGGATGATTTATGATCAGCCACTCTGCGATTTACAAGAAGTCTTCTTCAGCAATCATCATTGGATCCAAAGTTTTAAAGGTTTTGTCATATTTGAGTAGATTACAAATTTTTGTCTCAACTTAATCACTGACCAGGTAAGCTACGATATTCACGATAGATTTCACAAAAAAAAATTGAATTTTATTTAACTTAAATGTATACTATCTCACAAATTAAAATGCTTATAGCTTTTTTGTAAGACAAAGACTGTAGCTACAACAATCGTTTTCTTTTTCTATATCTGAAAAACCACTGTTATCGATGTCAAAATTACTTTGCACGGATTACTCTAGAGCTTTTTTATAGAATAAGGGTGACAAGCAAGCACAAAGCTCACCTGGTGGGAAGTTCATGCTGTAACCCACAGACATTTACATCTATCCTTTATTAAGAATCAAAATGCAGACTAAAATGAATGCCTCGTATCCAGTAAAAACGTCTCCGGTTCCCTACACTCACCATACGAAACACAGCACTATTAAGCTGCTATTTTACGCAGTTATTCTGTGAGAGCGTGGTTCTTCCCCGATCGAGCCGACTCATTCGTGCTACAACTAATATAGCTGCAGCAATAGAGTCACGAACGAAAATATATATGTAAAATGTTAAAAGTTTTTTTATAGGATAAAAAGTTGTAAGAGAGAGGCAGAAATATGTAATATTGTTGAAACTTTTTTACGTGGTAGAGCCATGCTGCAGCTATATTAGTAGTATAGTTGTGGCACGAATGGGTCGGCTCGATCGGGGAAGGACCACTCTCTCACAGAATACCAGCATGAAATAGCGGCGTAATGCCGCTGTTTAGTGTAAAGAACCAGAGGCCTTCCTTATTGGTAACTAGCCGTTCCCCGCGACAAGTTTTATTACGCTATTTTTCTTAAATGAAATTAGCCTAAGTTACTCCTTATAACATCAGCTATCTGCCAGTTCCATCAGTTTTACAGACATTTCCGAGGTTAGCCGGAACAAACAGACAAAAATTTAAAAAAATGTTTTTATCATAAGTATTGTCTATACTTTCATATGCATTTAGTAAATAGCTGTTATTGTGACATTACAAACAGACTTCAATTTTATTTATTTTTATGAATGAAGTTATTCTGTATTAGACCTCATTGATGACAGCGCATATACATTTTGATTCTAAAACTGCGCGATCATTTGTAACCGTTAATTTATTTAAAAATATACTACTTACCAATAAACTCAGACCTACAAAGAAAGGAAGGCGGAGCACTGCTTACGTCTCAAGTGCAAACACCAAGTCAATACCCAGCTCAACTTAGTGTAAGGATAACTCACGTACACTTACTTACTTATCTTCACGCACAATCCCTGACGGGGTAGCCAGAGAGAACAGATCGCCAAGTGTCACGATCCTTACAAACCTCTTTCGCTTCTTTCAGATTCATTATCTTCTTCATGCATGCACGTCTAGGTATCCGAGTACTCTTGACCCTACCCTCTTCGAGCAATTTGCTCACATGGTCTTCGAAAGTTAGTCTCGGTCTACCTCGACACCTTTTAATATTAACTTTCGCGCTATATATTTTCTTCACCATTCGGTCTTCACTCATTCGCTCAACGTGCCCAAACCACCGAAGCACGCCCTTATCAATTTTTGTGATAAGGTCATCTTTCAAACCTGCCATATTGCGAATCTCTTCGCAATATGGCAGGTTTGAAAGAGATTCACGTACACACGCCTAAAATAATTTGTTACCAACTACATGATTTTAAATGCATTTGTGTGCGTTCATCAGTGAATTCTTACTCTTTGATAAAGAAAAAAATAAGATAGATTTGGTGCGTGAATCGAGAAGTGTGTCAAGAAGTTGAGCATGATTTCGGCATCACTTAAAATGTACGAAGTGCCTGTTTCTTTGTTGGTGTGAGTTTAGAAAGTTTATACTGTTTATATCTCATTTGTGAATGTATTATTTATATTTGTATGCCCGATCCTGAATACTTATCTAATTAAAATAAACCAATATATACAACATATCGACACTCAGTTTAGGAATTCTAACTTTAATTAGGAACTGGAAAATAAAGCAAAGGATATGTGAAATTCTTAATGAAAATATCTCAAATCCGAATTAAAACCTAAAAATCCAATCTAATCTATCAATAGGACTTATTAAGTCCTATTGAACGATTAGATTGGATTTTACGGGCTAAAAAGTAATATATATATATATTACTTTTAAGCCCGTGGTTGATGTATGGTAAATCACACTATTTTAGCATTACTTTGTATAAAACCTATTCGTTCTTGTCTTGAAAACGCCCATATTGTAATCGGATGGAAAGACAGATTTATAATTATATAAACTCATGATTTACAGCTTGTAAATCCAGGGCCAATACATGCAGCGAAAGCAATGGCATGAGGAATGAAATTCTGCTCGTAATTTCCAGTGAAAAGATGCGACCACGGTCCCTTGGCGAAGATTGCCACGTCCTCCCCGCCGTGGGTTTCCCTGGCTATCGGTACCAACGACGGGTACGTGAAGTTCAGGTTTTCTGAAATTATACCATTTACATACACTATGGCTATTGATAATAATATCACAATATCAAAAACCTGCCAAGTTCGAAGGAACATAAGTAATTTCAATACTAGTCTATTACTGACAAGTGATGAAGGTGAATGTAATAAAAATTTGAAAATAGCGCTGTTCATCATCATCTAGGTAGATAGAGCCCTTCACAAGTCCACTGCTGAACATAGGCCTCCCCCAAGGAATGTGACAAAGCACGGTCCTGAGCCACCTGCATCCATCGACTGCCTGCATGTCTTACGTCCATTTAGCGATCCCCCGCCCTACACTTCGCCTACCGGTACAAGGCTGCCACTCGAGAACCTTTTTTCCCCCATCGGTAAAAATGTAAAAGTAGGGCTGTTATAAAACTAAACTCCTAAAAGCGGTCAAGGGAAAATAGGCCTAGAAGAGATATATTGATGAGTGAGCTACTATATTCTTAATGTTGCAGTGAAATTTAACCCTTTCGCTGTCCCGTGCACTACATGTAGGTCATTGCTATTGTCTTACTATAGTGTTTTAAAACCGGACAGTGAACGTGTTAATACTTATCAATTTATCAATTTCATCTTCATTTTTACGGCTTTTCCCGAAAAATCGTTATGACTGCCAGCCCGACAAACACAACACTACTCGCTCACACACATCTTCCCTCTCTCTCCTACCTCTTTCGTTCCGTTCTTACATAATATATATATTTTATAGTAGTAGTATCTGCAGTAGTTAATAGCAGATATGTAACGCTAATAAGGTAAAAAAGTCACAATCACTTCGTAATTATTGTTTTCTTACCTATATCATCCAACATTAAATTATGTCTTTGGAATTCCTCATGAGGCTTGTAGCCAGGTCCGTTCGCATAGCTGAGAGTCGTATAAGGCATATTATCTGACGCGTTCATCTGTATCATTAAAAAATAAAATTATTTACATACAATTCAAAGGGGTTTTAACGCATCCTTATTATCATCATTCATCATTCCCTTCTCAAGTCCAGTTTTTAAATAGTTCACTTTCATTCTGACTTTTAGGTTCATATCAATATAATCCCTAAGATGATTTTTCGAAGGTTGCCAAAGTGTCTAGCAAACTAGTGCACTAGAGACAAGGGACCAAAGTTATACCGTCAGATCTCCAGCCATCATCTCTAAATATTACAAGGCTCTCAAACCGGGTAAACATTTATAGAGACAAGTTTATGTTTTTATTTGAGTTTTCAGTGGCAGAGCTTTGTCAGAAAGAGATGCCGAGTGATGGGAATTCCAAGACCAAATATGCGATAAATTGAAGATGGGTCAAGTGTACTCATTACCGACAAACATATCTGCGTAGATAATATAATTGATGTGAAAGAATCGAAAAAGCTACCAAAGTCCAAAGGATACAAAAAAGGTACAAAAGTCAGAATCGTACCAAAATCCGTTCGTCCGTAGTTTCTACCTACTCCTGGGTAACTGAGAATGAACTGAGAGTTTATGTATGTAGATATGTATGTGTTTACGAATAATATATGAATTATCCATGTTTCGGAATTATGAACTCCTAAAATAGAACAGGACAAATAAATAGTTTTAGTATTTTTCTACCATTATGAGAATTCCAGAAATATATTTACTACCAACGACCTAATTAAGCTGGGAAGTCTCTTGCCAAATTAGGAAAACATAGTATAATGTCATTCGCATTAACCGCTCTATTTGGCGCAAATAGTTGAGACCAGTGAAAACATATTGTTTCGTTATGGCCCTTGACTTCGAACTCTTTTTTGTCCGCTTTTTATGTGAGCAGCTTCTTTTCAGGTCAGAGGTTTTATGTATATTGAATAAAAAATATTCTATTCTATTCTATGGCTATTTTTATTTTTTAAGAACCATAATCTTTTGTGGCAGTCATACGAATTTCGTCAACGCAATGATGTACCTACTAACTGTCTTAAAGATTATTTTCCTTTGTTATCCTTTACGTCAAAGGTACCACCTGCCAATTATGGCGATAATATAAATCCTTAGACGTAGAGTATACGAAGCATAGCTTGCTTGTCACTTTAAGGCTTTTAAAGGCTGATGAAGTAAAGAGAAATCAAAGTCAAACCATCTTACTATATTCGTGAATCCCAAGATATCAGTTCCTCGTTTGCTATATCCGCTGTACGACATGGTGTGGCTGTGATCTGACGTCACAATAATAAGGGTCTCCTCAGTATCTACCATCCTCAATGCCAATTCCACGGCCTTCGCTAATTCAGCAGTTTCATCCAAAGCCTTACGAGCTTTCGTCTCATGGTGAGCTGTGTCGATTCTCCCTCCTGCAAGAATCATTACGTATGTATGACGTGTAACTTTATAACGTAATAGAGCCACGCTGCAACTATATAGTTGCAACACGAATGTGTCCACTCGACCGGGGAAGGACCACACTCTTAGAGAATAGAGGTAAAAAACAACATAATGCTGCTCTGTTTCGTATTGTGAACGCAGAGAACTGGAGATCCTTTTTACTGATAACAAGGCATTCTATCTTAGCACCTAGAGGAAACAACGCATGTACATTTTGTTTATAAACTGAGGATTGATGTGGCTGTCATCTATCCTCGGTCTATGTCATATAACTTACTCGTTTGTCACCCATATTCTATGAAGAAAAAGTTCAGTTAAATGTATTTGTATTTTATACGTGGTAGAACCATGCTGCAGCTATATTAGTAGTATAGTTGTAGCACGAATGGGTCGGCTCGACCGAGGAAGGACCACGCTCTCACAGACCAGCGTAAAATAGTAGCTTATCGTTGCTGTGTTTCGTATGGTGAGTGTAGAGAACCGGAGACTCTTTTTACTGGAAATGACGCATTCCATCTTAGTCCTCACGGGTGACAACGCATCTGCATTTTGATTCTTTATTGAGGATAGATGTGGATGTCTATGGGTCACAGCAACCACTTACCATCAGGTGGACAGTCCACCTGATGGTGCTCGCTTGTCACCCTATCCTATAAAAAAAATTTGATTGCCGTGTGATAGCGGAGCGTGGTAGAGAATACCGCCATTTCATTTCGAGGATATTATTAATGTCTACAAAAATTAAACTTTTACAAAAAATTAAAAACTGACTTTAAAAACTAAAATTAATAGAATAATTCCACATAATACTTCCACTTTAATAGCGTATCAAGCAATTTAAATCCCGACTTCAGAAGCTATTATGTGAAAACAATTTTATTGTTTTTAGTTTTAAAAGTCAGTTCTTAGGGTTTCGTACCCGAAGGGTTACCAACAGGACCATATTACTAAGCCTCCGCTGTCCTTCTGTCCGTCCGTCCGTTCGTCTGTCTGTCAGCGGGCTGTATCACATGATCCGTAATAGGTAGACAGTTGAAATTTTCACAGAATGTATATTTCTGTTGCCGCTATAACAACAAGTAATAAAAATAAATTAAAAATTAAAGGACGTTGGTATGGAACCCTTCATGCGAGAGTCCGACTCGCACTAGGCTGTTTTGTACTACTTCTTTTTAAAGTTTAATTTTTTTACCATTTTGAGTTGACCAAGTTCACGGTAATGTCTAAAATATCGTCTAAATATTTACATTAAAATCTTCATCCGCATTTTACCACGCCTGAAGGCCTGAAGTATTACAATATACTTTACAAAACAAAAGAATCTTTAGAATCGGTTTATAAAGAAAGAAGTTGATTTAATTTAAGTTGAAGAAGATGATCGAACATATATAAAAAGATATATATAGACGTATTAAAGGCTTTCCCATTTTAATATCATTTTAAAAAAATTGGCTGTGGTTGAGCTTAAGCGTAAAGTACAGTATAGGAACTTAACCATTAATTACCTTCATAGACTAAATTACCATATATCGAATAGCATGCAAACACTGGACTGCATGAGTGTGTGCGTAAACTACCTGCGTGTGTGTGCGTGTATGGGCAATGTAAACATATTCATAAAATAAGTACCTACCTATATATTAATAGTTATACAATGTACTATTAGTGGAAGAATTCAATAAATTTCATTCTTTCATAAACATTGTATCCTTTATTTTTTCTACTTCACCTACGTCAAACTCTCTATGGTAAATGGGTCGACAGGTTGAGGATGCCTAAAGGCATTAAGGCCACCCTTTGTATCCTTTTTGATATGGGCAAAAAAGGAAAATAATTTACATATAAATACATACATTAGTAAATAGACTTATATAACAAACGCCTGACGGAAGTTTAAAGGCAAAGTATCTCTTATGAATTTTATTGCTTGTATGCTATTAAATAAACAACTCATGTAATCCAAACTCTGATTTCTCATTCCATAGAATTCTGACATTTCATAAGTGTTGCTACTAAAAAAGTTCTCCAAAAAGGGGACAAATTTGGCCTATTTGAGGTCAATAAAAAATAAAATGCTACGTATTCTTCATGTTTTACCTACAAAAAGGTAAATCTAAATATTTACTTACTCAATTGACCTAATACAAAAATAACAAATATTTCAATATCACGAACAATATGTCGAATTAACTTTAATTACTTTATTTTATTCTTTAGCTGGCATCACTGCCTACTAATTCCAGGCTTAGTAAACCTTTTTATAAAAATAAAATGTTAGCTGTCACGTCGCGTTTGTCACATTGATTGATTTTCATTCGACTTCTTTGAATGCTCGAATGCGCTCATGTGTTCTCGGTGTTTGCTGCTATTTTTTGTTATTATCTTGTTATATTTGTAAAGTTTCTGTTATTCTGTAAAATTTTTGAGATCGTTTGTTGAATTTTACAAACGTTATGGAGCCACAACCTGGCCCTTCGCGGGAAGCAGCCCCATCTGACAGAGCACAAGACTCAGACTTTCTTTCTCCCAGAAAAAAGCGTCCTCGTGGTGCTTTTACGCCCAACGAAAAGACCATAATTCTAAATATTTACAAATATAATAAAGAAAATTGGCTGTGTTTTTAAGTGCTAAAAAGAGTTCTGAGATGACTGGCGTGGGTCTGTCAAGTGTCTATAAAATTATCAAAGAATATTAAGACACAAAAGAGTTTCAAAAGCCGAAATAGAGTGGAATTCAACTATCTTTCATACAAAAATTTGACGAATTTACTTTCACCGGAATCCGACGAAAGGTACACGCGTTTTTCTACAGGAACGACATTCCGACTATTGAAAAGGTAAAGTTATTGCTAATTCTTTAACCCCTCGTTGCTGACATCCCCCATTGTTTGAAAACTATACTTTAACCTGTCTTGCCTGTCTACATTTTAACTGTAATGTAAATGCTTATTTCAGATTCACCAAGAGATAGCTGGTGATCTAGAAGTGTATGTTATGTCGAAATCAACATTAAGAAAAGTATTGAAGTATTTAAATTTTTAATACGCAAGTCGCAAACTTCGAAATGCGCTAACAGATCGCAAGGTGATAGTACTATGGCGTCAAAAATACTTGCACCAAATTAAACAATATAGAAGAGAATGCAGGTTTATATATTACCAGGATGAAACTTGGGTTGTGTGTGAAACTTGGCAAGTATTGAATAATGTAATTAACTTTTTATAACCTATTTTTTCTTCAAAGTATTAGCAATCAAATTCTGTACTTATGAAACACTTAAATTAACTTTTTTATCAAATTGCCAAAATGAATAAATAAATAAAGAAATCCATATTTATAAGTAATATTTTTCAATTTATATGCATATTTAACTGTCCTCATGTATAAGTGAAATATTAAACATCTTTTTATTTTCAGGACATACCGTCAATAAAGTGTGGTGTGATACCAACATTCAATCTTCACGAGAAGCTTTCCTCGATGGCTTGACAACAGGGCTTAAGGTACCTACAGGTAAAGGGACTTATAGTTAGCCATATAGGGAGCGAAGAAGGATTTTTGGAAGATGGTTTATTGGTTTTTGAGGCAAAAAATGCTTAGCAGATTACCACAAGGAGATGACTGGGGAAGTATTTCAGGATTGGTTCACAAAAATACGTCCAAAATTAAAACCAAACTCAGTAGTAGTGTTCGATAATGCTCCTTATCATTTGAGGAAGGTCGAACAAGTACCAACAAGTGCATGGAGAATGTTAAAAGTAAAATTATTGGAAATTGTGGGTCAAGAGAAATACAAACATCAACAGTGTATTGTAGACGAGATGACCGCAGCATATGGCATTACTGTGCTTAGACTGCCCCCATATCATTGTGAGCTCAACCCTATTGAGTTGGTGTGGGCTCAAGCGAAGGGGCATGTCGCAGGACACAACAGAAGTTTTAAAATGGCAGAAGTTAAAAAACTATTACTGGAAAGTATAAGTTTACTCCTGATAAATGACAAGAATGTATCAGCCATACAATCAAAGAAAAAGATAAGATGTGCACTCTCGACAATTTGATGGGCACAGTCGCAGACTCTTTAATAATTCATGACAGCGATAATGATGATGACGAAGATAGTTATATAAGTATTAATGATGATCAAAAATTTTAATAAAAATATGTTATCTTTACATGTGCGTTTTTTACTGTTTGTGATGAAAAGGGACGTAATTATCACTCGCCGTAAAACCACTTTTAATGTGGAGCGTCGCACTTAATAAAATGGTTACATTCACTAACAAATAAAATGTATGTATAGACTCAGATGTTCAGACTCGTATTGAAATTGATAAATGTGTCCGGCCAAAAAGGTTTGTAATCTCTGACATGTCAAAAAATGATAGCTGTCAGAAACAGTAAAAACGCACATGTACGTTTTTTACTGTTTGTGATGAAAAGGGACGTTATTATCACTCGCCGTAAAACCATTTTAAATGTGGCGCACTGCACTTAATAAAATGGATACAAATAAAATGTATGTATAGACTCAGATGTTTAGACTCGTATTGAAATTGAAAACTGTGCCCGGGCAAAAAGGCTGACTTGTCAAAAAATTATAGCTGTCAGATTTCTACGGAATGAAAAATCAGACTTTATACAAATAAATAAAATTGAAGTGTCTGTTTGTAATGTCAAAATAACAGCTTTTTACTAATTGCATATGAAAGTAAATACGGTACTTATTACAAAAATACATTTTTTTAAATTTTTGTCTGTCTGTCTGGACTGATTTTGACGGGACTTTCATTGGTAGATAGCTTATGTTATAAGGAGTATAACTTAGGCTACTTATATTATAGAAAAGTAATTAGGGTTACGCGCAACAAAACTAAAACCCTAAATTACACGCGGGCGAAGTCGCGGGGAATAGCTAGTAATACATTAAAGCTAAAATGATTAAACAGTTTGTTTGATGCTTTAAATAAATAATTTGTATTTGTATATTAACTTTGGACATTCCTTTGTTACTCTTAATTAAATTTTGACAGTTTTTGATAGATTAATGAAATATCATTACCCGTCAGAGTAAAAGGCTTAACCACACAAAAGAGATTATATTTACTAAATTATAAGTTAAGCCTTACTGTATTTTAAAATATATTTATTTCGTTACCACGTTATATATCTGACTTTATAAGGAGGGAAAATTTCTTTCAGTATATATATATCTTTACAACCATCCATTCATTACAGATATAAAAGTTTAAGTAAGTCTCATAAGAGGATTTTGTAATACTTGCCACGCTTGGCAGGTGAGTTGGCAACCGCAGTCATTATTTTGAGTTGTTAAGAGAAAGATGCTGCTGCCCATCTCCTGTTTCAGTTTCCCTCTGATGGCACCCACGGGACGATGTGGGGTAGTGGATATTCTTACGCCGGTAATAGTTTTTTTTCTTTGTGTAAATCAATAAAATAACTCTTATAATAACAGAATTCACAGTTTCCAATGCTTGACTCTAATGTCTACAAGTGGTGAAATTCTGATGAAGATCTAGGGCAAAGCATTCCGTCTTAGCGTAACAAAAGCCTATTAACTATTGCCTAAGGTAAGGTGAGGGTAATATGGTCACCTTAATCTTTACCGCCCTATAAAACCAAAACTAGGAGGAGGACAGAGGTAAAAACACAAAGACGTATACTGTAACAAATATAATAAGAAAAGCTTTGCCAATAATTAGCAATACTTCGAAATATCAACTTTAAAAAAATTGCTATAAGTACTACACAATACTGAAATCGACTAAAATATTTACAATCATTTCAAATGTCAAAATGGCGTCGATAAAGCAGCGCCCTCTTGACCGTTTATTAAGTGGCGAAGCTTGCGAAGTCACTTATTAAGTAGCGAAGCTTGCGATGTTACTTATTGATTTCACGATGTCTGTCCGTCTGTCCGTCTGTCCCACGATTATCTCGAGAACAGTTTTGAATTTTCAAATTCTGTTTTCAGCAATCGATTACTGATCACCCAGGCATCTGAACCTCCTATTTTGAAACTGATTGCTCAACGGCAACCGTTAGAAACCGCTACAAAGCTGATTGCTTCGCCACTTTGCTATGCTGTTAGCTTGCTAGGTTTATTGATTTCACGATGTCTGTCCGTCTGTCCGTCTGTCCGTCTGTCCGTCTGTCCCACGATTATCTCGAGAACGGTTTTGAATTTTCAAATTCTGTTTTCAGCAATCGATTACTGATCACCCAGGCATCTGAACCTCCTATTTTAAAACTGATTGCTCAACGGCAACCGTTAGAAACCGCTACAAAGCTGATTGCTTCGCCACTTTGCTATGCTGTTAGCTTGCTAGGTTTATTATTTTATTGACTGATGAAGAGCTATCTTATCAGAGAGCCATCAATGCAAACAAGACTGTAGTTTTTGAGTTACAAGAAAGTGACCATATTTCCCGGATGACCATATTACCCTCACGTACTATATAGTTCTTCTTAAGCTCGCGGCAGTCCATTCTTGTAAATGGTCTACTTCCACAGGTGTGTTTCCTTAATTTATTTTATTTGATGTAATTGCCATATTTGACTGTATAATTGGTCATCGTGGGTTTAGACGTTTTGCAACTTTGATACTTATCTCTAATTCCATTCAAACACCCAAAAATTTATCCAAATCGGTCGAGACTTTTTGAGTTTTAGTGAGACTAACGGACAGCAATTGATTTTTAGAGTTCCGTATCCAAAGGGTAACCAAACGTGACCCTATTACTAAGCTTCCGCTATCCGTCCGTCCGTCCGTCTGTCTGTCAGTGGGCTGTATCTCATAATCCGTAATAGGTAGACAATCGAAATTTTCACAGAATGTGTATTTCTGTTGCCGCTATAACAACAAATAATAAAAATAATAATTAAAGGGAGACTCCCATACTAGAAACGTGTTTTTTATCTTTTTTTTATAGGACAAGGGTGACAAACGAGCACACAGTCCACCTGATGGTAAGTGGTTGCTGCGGCCCATAGACATCTACATCTATTCTCTATTACAAATCAAAATGTAGATGCATTGTCACCCGTGAGGACTAAGATGGAATGCCTCATTTCCAGTAAAAAGGGCCTCCGGCCACCTGCACTCACCAAGCGAAACGCAGAGGTAAACCGCTACTTCGCGCTGGTTTTCTGTGAGGTCGTGGTACCACCCCGGTTCGATCCGGCCCATCCGTGCGACAGCAAAAGCGGCCGCGTGGCTCTACCACTGTTAACATTGTATTTAAACTTGAACGATGATATTGACCCTTCATGCGCGAGTCTGAGTCGCACTTGGACGGTTTATGTTATATATACCCGTAGAGATAAGGATAACAATGAGAAATTACCTTCAACGAATAACACGAACCCATTTTTATTCTTCGACAATATCTCAATAGCTTTGTGGGTCATTTCACTCAATACTGGGACATCATCGCCTGCCTCTAAGTGATACGGCATATGATCATATGTGAAAAGCCCCAACACACTATTGTACTCTTTTAAATCGAGTGATTGCAGTTGTGTTCTATTGAATACGTATTTCGGGGACGCCCCCAGCGATTTTCTATTAAGCTGCCATTCTTTTATCAGGTCCGCATTGTCACGTCTGTATCCAGGATTTCCTTCTTCATCTTTCAATTTGTGGGTCAGGAAGTTCTTTCTTCCACCACCCATAACAACCTGAAAAATGTTCCACTTTATGTACAAATTGCAATATTTACACTCAGACTAACAAATCAAATAGATCGGGCGTTGTGTACATTTCAAGAGACGCCGAAACTATGCGCCACTTCTGAACACGCACTTACGCATCCTTTTTACTTCTTTCTTAAACAAGCCGTAAAAGTACACTGTTGGAAGCACAATTATGCACCTTAAACCATATTGTTGGTGGAAAACCGAAAAAGTAATAGATATATTTTTTTATTCAACATAGATTGTAAGTATATAACAGTTGTTGAAAGTCATTCTTTAATTTACCACTGGTTCGAAAACTACGTCTTGGGAAGAAACAGCAAGAAACCCAGCGGGACATTTGTTTTAGATGCATAATGTGTGTGTAAGTCCGTTAGGCATGGTTTTGTCGTCACTTGAATTTAATGCAATTTAACGCAACGCTTCGTCTATATGTCTTTGTTTGTCTTAAAAATTAGAACATGATGCGAAACTAAGTTGAAAGAAAACCTAGAACTAAACCTAGAACACCACAAGAAACGTGTCATCACATGGGTATTATAGGAGTTGACTGAGAGAAATTCTCAGTGAAACCTCTGGACTCCAATAGATTACAGATTGATTATTTCATCAACAGCAGTATGTTTAAGATCACAGGCTTCTGTTTCGACGATCACTTGCAATGGCTCGAGTCGGGCATAAGAACTTATATAATCGTAGATCTATATGGTCCGACATTCAACAGTTTAACAGCATAAACGTGAGCTTGATTAGAAAAAAATCGTGCGTTCTCATTTACACACAATTAAAAAAATAACGTTGTTTAAAAAGTACGTAAAGTTACATCCTTTATATGTCCCACTGCTGGGCACAGACCTCCTCGCAGTCTCCTCTTAGTTGCCGCGCGGAGGACGGGCTCCACATCCAATACGCGTTGGCGGACTTCACATGCCCTACAAATACTTTATTTCTTGGATACGTTCCTCAGGTTTCCACTCAATATTTTTTTCACCTTTACCCGTTACACCTTTATAACGTTTATAACGTTACACGTTGTAAATTACCACTTAAAATGCATGTAACAATTTCATTAGTGCCGGCGAGGATCGAACCAAATTACACAATACGCTCTCTTAACTCTTAAAGTCTATGGCCCGTATTAATAAACGTTACTCAGCTCAAGTACACGCATACAATCTTGAGGTTATGATTTTATTAATAAACATATCTCATGATGCGGTTTAGGTTTACGATATCAGCTGAGTGCCACACTGATTATTAAACGAAACTCGACTTTCAAGTGTGTTTACTTGAGTGCAAGTCACACAACAGTATTCCTAAGTACAGCGTTTTGAGATAATGTTTTTATGTGTTTATTAATTAGCAACGATCTTGAGATGCTGATATCGTAATGAGGGCGTATCAAATGATTACGCACTTGAGTTCGTCGTTGCGTAACTTTTATTAATTCGGGCCTAAGTCTTATCTCGTGTGTGACAAATTTAATTTAGAATTCATTCTTTTTCAGCGATAAGGAAAACTTTATGTACTACTAATTAATAAAATTAAAATTTGAAGTGTAAGAAACCAGTATAAGAACAGACTGTAGGTAATGCTCGATTCCTATTATATTCAAGAAACGCGTATCGTTCACCGTAGCGAACCATTTAGTTACACAAGGTGCATGTAATAAAATAATTTAAAATAAAAATGTTGTACAGCCGACTTCAATATCAATTATTAAGAATAACGCAAAAACTATTGGTCTGACCTTGATCAAATTCATATGGGACCACACGAGAAGTATCAGCTTTCATATAAAAAAAAGAATCATCGAAATCGGTTCACCCAGTAAAAAGTTATGAGGTAACACACATAAAAAAAATATACAGTCGAATTAAGTACCGTCTCCTTTTTGAAGTCGGCAGAAAATAGTTTATATTACAAACTGCAGGTTTCTGCAGCTTAGGGTGACTTTGAAAAACCTCTAAACGTTGCATAAAAAGTTGAACTGCTATCTTGTTTCGATAAAGGGGGTTTCTGCACTTCAAAAAAAAAAGTTAAAGTTACAGCCTATATACGTACCACTGCTGGGCACAAGCTCTCATTTCTGAGATGGTTTTTATCTATCAATGTGTGTTGGCGAACTTCACATGTCTTCGAAATATTTTTTTTCTTATTTCTCAGACATGCAGATTTCCTTACGATGTTTTCCTTCACCGCCGAGCACGTGGTAAATCAGCACTTAAAATTGCAATTAACAACTTCATTGGTGCCGGTGGAGTTCGTACCCGGATTGCTCGCGGTCTGCACTTCATTTACTATAAAACGCCTTGTAAAAGAAAACGAACCGGTTTAAATTATAGGAACCGGCATAAGGCATTTATTTTTGCCCTCAGGGCAACGCGTCTGAGGTATAGAAATGTTTGAAGTTAGTTTAAAGTATTCATGTGCTGCAGTAGCTGTTTCATATCATTTGGTCTGTAAGGTTATTTGTCACTGTAATAATAATATTAACATAATACAGTGAACACATATATTTTTTGTTATCTTTATACAATTTAATCTTACTTATGGACGTTTCCGAGAAACCAATTACATATTCATACACATAGGTATTATACAAGAACTGCAAAAGTATAAAACACATGCTTACGTGCTTACAGGTTCACCCCCTATATTGGGGTTGCTTATAGGTTGTGTGGTTACACAACCTATAAGCAAGCGGTAGGGGGTGAAGCCCATTACATTTAGATAAGGCCTGTATGTAAGTAAGGAAAGCTTTAAACGTATTAGATCACGTTGATTACATGCTGTTTTTGCACCTTTTTGGGATCGAGTGGCTCAGTGACCGACGCGTTTATTTATTTATTCCTATCCTTAAATATTATAAGTTTATGAAACAACACCCGCGGATCAGGAAATGTGACTGAGAATAAAATTTATTTTATGGTAAAAAAAACGTGGGGTGCTTTTACAACTGTTTTTATGATGACGCAAATTTTACAAATATCCACAAAAATATTTACAACAAATTACATCAAGCACCCTACGCTTTTTTACAATAAACTTCCATTTTTTGTCAAGCACTATTTTCTTATTTTAATGTTATTGAAAATTATTTTCTACTTTTTAGTTCGGTTGTCTAAAAGCGTGTTTCTTTTAGTTTTTTTTTAAACTCTTAGGACACTTCATTTCTATTTTTTAGTAGTAGTTTTTTGTTTTGGAACGAAGTTCTTTTAGTAGACAGAACTGGCAGAAATCGTTATTTTATCAATTATTCGCAAATCCTGAAGATCATGGCGAGAATGGGACAAACTATTTAAATTATTGCATTGTCATCGGTCCCTGATTGTGCGAAGTTTCAAATCAATCTGACGTTTTGAAGAGGATGAAAATCATATTCAAATATTCTAAAAGCTAATAAAAGCGTGTTAATTATTGCGTCGTAATCCTTTTCTCTCTCGTAATTCTTTTCCCGACATATTTATATTTATTTATATACTGGTAGAGAATGCCTCAAGGCATTAAGTCCGCCCTTCTTTGTATTCTTTTGTTTTAAGGAATGCAATAAAGAATAAATAAATAAAAAAAAGAAAATAAATTTAGGCGTCCGGTAATTGATGAAAACTGAATTTTAAAATTTCCTTTTCATTCCTACATTCACATGCACGTAGGTACACACACACAAGCATACAAACATGCATACATAAATACATACGTACGCATATATGTCAAGCTAATAAACTTGTATTAAATAATATGAAACTATAAATAAAAACTACAAACCGTCTTCAATACAAAGAAAAAATTATAACTTATGCATGACAGCTACTAAAATAGGTTCTTAGATATAAAACATAAGACAATGCCTCGACTTCAGATACTATTATATGATTTTTTTAAGACGTCCATTACATAGTAGGTTTTGCTGTCAGTTTTACAACAATCACGGTTGTGATTGACCTACCGTGTAATGCGGTGATTGACAGTTGCATGAAATTGATTGACAAATATCTGGATATTTTTATTTTACGTCAATCAACTATCAGTCACGAATTTTGGTTGAACGTGTATTGGCATTTCATAAATCACGCGTCAGTCAACGCTTAGACAGCAATGGAGGCGGACGCACAATATATTGAAGACGCGGCTTCCACGCGTTCGCGCAGCCCGTCGCCACTCCCGCCAAACGTGCTTCAGCCAGAAAAAGATTTTATTTTAAATTATGAGGCGCTCCCCGAGTTGTGGGACACGAAAAACCCAGGGTATACGAATAAATATAAAAGGTAAGTTTCTTTTTCGTCCTAAAGCTATTTAAATAAATAAATGCGTTTCAAATAAAGCCGCGTATCGATTATGCGCTACAAGAGCAGGCCTCCGTCACTCGCTCAAGGCCCTGCGTTATATGCCTACCGTTCGGCGTATCGCGGTCGCCCACGATACAACCGACATTGGGCTGCCGCACGCCCGCCGAAATGCCGAAACCACGTAATTAATGTGAAGTGGAGTCAAGAAACAAATGAAAAATTGTCATTTTCTTCTTAACTATAAGATTACATCGAAGCAACAGCATAACAGTGCTGTGATTTATAAATTGAGTAACAACCTGGACACCCAAATTATATAATAAGTCTTAAATAATTTTGACAATGCCATAATGAATCGGCCTGGCAGCAGCGTGTTACAAATTTTACAAACCATTGATTTTCCTCCGCTTTGTTCCTTTTTTCCTCATGATTATTTATTAAAATTATTTACGCGATTTAGGATATTTTCAACGATAAGACTTAATAACTGAGAATTCAGAGAAGGAAAAAAATTTATAATTCATTTTATAAAACTCAAACATATTTGATTGACAAATAAAAAATATGGTTATTTCGCAAGATTCGTTTTATTACAATAATCATCATAGGTACAACCCTAGCGCATTCGTGCGATGACGCGCTTGCACGTGAGGCGCACGGCGGTCAACACAATCTCGACTCTTTTTGCGT